TTCTGATCAAAGTTTGAAATGTAATGTAGTCTTATTAAACTTCTAAAACTTTGTAAGATAAAAAGGAGAAAGTGCCACTAAGCTTCAAAAACTCTTTAAGATTTGAAGTGTAAATGTAGATAAGTAAAAACTTCAAAACTCTTTAGAGAAAAAATAAAAGAATTATTAATGTCATATTCTAAAATGTTTCTTCTTAACAAAGAGTCGATTTTGATTTACCTTCTCATATTCTTTGAGAAGATTGTGGGAGTTCAAAAGATTCTCAAAAGGTTTCCAAATGTTCTCAGTATTAAAATATTCTTCCCACTTAACAAGATATTACTTCTTATTGCAGTGTAATCATTTATTCAAAATAGCTTTAACAAAATACTCCATTCTGCCTTCAAGTAGAATATCAGAAGGTTTCTTAAATTCTTCACTCAGTTGCTGATAATAGGATTCTAACAGAATAATATGGAAAACAGAATGCATAGATTCAAAGGTTCTTAGAAGATTTAATTGATATATTTGCAATTTGATGATGTTCAGAATTGTAAATGATTCAAATCATTTATCTTCAAATTTGCAGCATGGTTTAAAAGTTGCTATATTTAGAGAAGATAAAAAACTAAATCTTCAATGATAAAGATTTTATTCTGATGCCTTCTGTTATAGTATTTTGCTTGCTTTTTAAAAGACTTTCAGACAGTAATTTGAAGCTTGCTTTATATTTATTGTAATTTCTCAACTCTTGCTATAGCTAAGGGTTCAAGATCAACAGAAGTTGCAGATTCAGATTCTTTATCAATCATTCTTCTTAGTGAAACAGAATTGTAATCTAGTAATGCTTGGAGCAGTGGCATGTCAATAAATATCTGAGAAACAGAATTGTAGAGAAATCGTGTCTGTGGAAGGAGATCCACTCAGTTATTCTGATGATAATTCAAGTATGTTTGTAAGTAATTCTCTGAGGTTTGGTTCTGGCGTTCTGTTTGCTCATCGGTTTGAGGGTAGAATGTCATACTCAGATTGCGTCTAACTCATAAATAATAACAGAATGTTGATTAGTAGTGACTGGTAAGCAACTTGTTTTTATC